GTTGAAAACACATCTTTTTCTCCTGTTGTGGACATAGCTATAGACGAAGAGAAAGAGCCCCTATGCCCAGTCATCTACAAGCTAAATTAGACCGACAGTACCTTCAGACTCAAAGTGCCCTTGCATAGCTAAAAGACAGTCTAGTCTTAAAACAGAGCCCATCTCTGTCTCTGGTGCACCATGGTCACAGTTTTGCTCCTGGTGAAACCAAATACAAAACCGCCACTGATTTAAATGGGAACGGGATTGAGCCCTGTTGCTTTGGTGCATTAGCATTGGTAGGCATTACAAAAGAAGTTTGTTTTAAGGAACGATTTGAATGATGAGAGGTCAATCCTTTAGCATGCACTTGAGCAGGATCAGACCTCGCTGCTCAGTGCTAGGGGAATCAGTGCTGTTTGCTTGGTGTCTTTGTCCAAGGACTAGGCCACAGTGTAGAGAAAGGATGGGAAAAGTAGACTGGGAAAAATAAGAACCTCTTTTGCCTGACACCTTCATCCTCTTTTAGAATCAATCTGGCAATTCCTGTGTTCCTATAGAAATGGACTTGCCGGAAATCCTACAAGAACACTAATTACCTGCCCAGCGTTGAAACCACATTTGGGACTGATTCACCACTACATTACTGCAGTTTTAGATTGGAGCTATTCCTTCAGTTAATATGATGGAATTATCCTGGCAAAAAACTGGAGTAGTGAAGTGCTGCATCAGGTCCAAGAAGGTAAGGTTCAGAGAAATGTGAATTCTTGGAGAGGGGGCTCATCGGAAACAAACCTTTTAATTGTTTGGAGATACACGCGTCACTAATACCAACAATGGAGAAAGCAGAAAAACAAAGAATCTCTCACAGCTTGTACCAGTTAAGTGAACCCTATTTTATGTGTGTAAGAGTTGGCAGCTTCAGTTTGGCAGGTGTCTGTGCGTGTGCAGAAACATGCAGATGTGCATTTAATTACGATTTCCATAGAAGAGAAACCATCTCTAAGGGCATGTCTGCACTGCTAATTAAGGTGTAATAGTCGTACAACTGTGCCTATTCCACTTGCACCTTAATTGGCAGCGGAGACATACCTACCCTAGCTTTAGTCTAGACGTGATGGCACAGGTTTGAGCATGGGCTAGCCATCCCTGTTCAAGCCCGCAGGGGACTCTGGGTATGTACTCAGGTTGCTAGCCTATGCTGAAAGCCATGCCGCCACATCTTTACTGCTGTGGTTACTCATGTTAGCTAAATTAAAGCTAGTGTGGGTATGCCTACCTCTGTTACAGTCACACCTTAATTTGCAGTGTAGACATACCCTAGGAGCTTGTAAGAAATTGCACAGAAAAAATGGCCATAGTCCTTTTTAGCATCAATGGAGCTATGTTTATAGTCACAGCCGTAACAACTGGCTGGAATACTCTTGCTGTCTCTTCACAGTGTTTTATCCCTGGGTGTTTATGGCAGAGCATTGTTGGAGGGCAGAGGGAGGCCCGGGTTATGAAATTGACTTTTGCAGAGCCAGAGTTTTGCAGCTTTGAAGATGCAGTGCAAGACACAGCTATTCACTCTGGCTTTTGGTTTTGGGGTCAATGGCTGGAAAAATATTTCTCATCACACAGCGATGCCGTGCTGGTAATATTGGGGTTGATTTTATGTGCATTTTATAGCATTATTGTTTTCCTTGTCATGTAATTGTGCTGCTCTGACAGCAATGGGCAAGAGACACATTTCTAAATATGTAAGAAAACCCATCTGTGCGGCTGGTAGAAAACATGTACAATTCCCAAATTAGTGCTTCTGTTAGATTTATACTGCAGTATCCTGCCAGTTTTGAACCCTTCAGCATTCAAAAAATCACCACGGGATCATTAATCCCCTTTCATAATTTTCCAGGTTTCTAATAAGGTCACTTCAATACCTCCTCATTTCTAAAGACAAAGAGCCGTCACTTTCACGTTTCCAAGTAGTGCACTCACTGAAAGCTAACGTCTTTGTAATCCCTTTTGCTACATGCTATTTAGGGCAAGACTATCTCTCTGGGACATAGTGATGTGTATGATCCACACAATTGATCTTGGTCTGATTTAGTTTTTGAGGGAAAAACTGTAAATGATGGCATTATATTTTGGTAAAGTAATACTAATTCTGTGCGGTGGCAATCTCTGTTTGTACTTATGTGGCTGTAAAAGCCTGATCATTAGTAGTTTATCATAATCAAACTTAAAAAAGAAACCAAAAACTAAAGATTTCATTAGCTTCAGCCAGTGTCTGTAAAATTCACATGTGGCTGCATGGCAGTTCCAGATTTACGGCTTTGTTCATGCAGCAAAAAGTTTTATGGATGTAACGTTCAGCTGGTCGAATGAGACTGACGCTAGAGTTGTGATTATCATAGCTTTTCTCATGCCTTTTTACTACTGTGAAATTTATAAAGTGGATTGCCTTTCACCTCCTGGAGCAGATCAAAATGATTGAGTTTGTCTTTCAACCACCTGGCCTTATTATTTTTTACCGATTGCCCTATCTTTCAGAGTTTCCACTCATGACACATGTCCACACATGTGACATTCATTTTTGTTTTGCAGTTTGAGCTCTTTATTCTTCTGCAAAAAGAAATACACACAGAGTGGTCATCAAATAGAGATATAGTAGATATCAGATGACTGGGACAGGGGCTATATGAGGCAGAATTTTCTGCTGGCAGATTAAGGAACTGAAAATAAAATCCAACCCAATTTTAATGGGTCATACGAGGAGTCCAGTGGAAGTCCGGTTGACTTCAATGCGACTACTTGTGTGTAAAGTGACTCATGTGCCTGCTTTCAGGATTGGACTCTTAGGATATGTCTACACTGCAGTCAGGAGGTATGATTGCAGCATGTCTAGGCAGACCCAAGCTACCTTCGATCAAGCTAGCTCATGAAAAATAGCAGTATAACCACGGTGGCACAGGCAGTGGAACAGGCTAGCGGTCTGAATACCATCCTGCCCTGAATCCTGGGACCACACCTCACATGGCTAGCCCATGCATCCACCCCTGCTGCTGTTGCTACACCGCTATTTTTAGCAAGCTAGCTCAATCAAAGCTAGCTCACTTATGTCTACACGGGCTGCAGTCATGCCTCCTGATTGCACTGTAGACACACCATTAGACTATAAGCTCATCTGAGGCAAGCACCTTCTATGTTCTGTGAAGCAGCTAGCACACTTGTAATCGCTGGCTAATTTATATATGCTGCAGGATTGTGCCCCTCTTATTCCACATTTGTGCACTGCATAGATTGCATATAAATCAGCCGTTTTAAACTGCTTTGGGACCACTGAGGATGAAAATGTAATATTAAATTCTCATATTAATCTGTTTTTTAATTGAAGTGAAAAATATTAATGATAGTTATCACCCTGTTCCATTAATAGAAAACCAGCCGTTTAAACAAATATCTAGTTTTCCGTACGGTGTCTACATGGGCGAGACTTAAAAATGTGCTTACGTTTTTAAAGATTCAACATGTTTCGAGAGAGACTCCCTAGCCTTAAAACAGGCACTACCCCTGGAATCTTGAATCTTTCAAACTGGTAGGATGTTTAAGTGGACAAATACAGATATTTTGTAATTAACACAAGAACCCCTTTAAAATATGCAATAATATTCAAGTAAACCAGCTTCTTTCCATTTACAACACACACTGGAGAGCTATCGGTATCTCCCACTATCTCTCTGAGGAGAAATCCAGCCTCTTTTGGATACTTGGATAATGTCTTGTTTAATTTTTTCCTTCAATAAAATGAAAGGCTCAAAGTCACTTGAAAGGCAAACTGTTGGTCTAATCTCCTAATATATTGTTAATTTTCCCACATGCCAAAAAGGAGAGAGAAATAGAGAAGGTCTGGTCCTTGTTAGTGAAATCAGTTTGTTTAAGAATATTATGTACTTCATAAAAATACCTCTTGTTTAAATTTGAACTAATACCTTGTACAATATTTATAAAAGTGCTGCTGGTGCTTGAAAAGAGATAAGGAGAATATTGAAAACAGCTATGAAAACTATCGAGTATATTTAAAGTTAGAGACTCCTGAATCAGAAAAGCAGAGTTCATTCTCCTTCACTCATCAAAAAATGTCTCTTTTCCCCATCTAACTTAAGAATGCTAGCGGCCAGTAGGAGACAAAACTCACAGCTCTCTACAATTACAAAGGATGCACACAAATCACAGCTCTCTACATTTTCAGAAACAGGCTGGTAGTTCAAAAACAGGAGGGAAAACCAGTTGCCCATCCCATCCCAGAGGTTCTCAGAAATGAATGTTGTCATTAAACCAACATTTGCCCTCTCCGTTAACCTGCTCAGTTTTGATCTCATAAAACTGGGAGCAGCTGAATCACAGTTTGCCTTTTAGCTGACAAACACCGTTACTTGTGAGATAGTTAAATTGGGTGTAAAACGTCATTTCTCTGCCCTTTCTGATTTTGGTCTGACTTGTTCAGCAAATGCATGCTGTATCCCAAGCGCCGGCTGGAGCAACTCAAGACCACCTCTCATTTTAAGCTAGCCTTGCAAACACTTCACGGTGCAGTCAAAATATCCACTTGCCTGTCAAAAACATTACTCCCCACAGGTGAGTCGGTGAGGAACATTTTGCTTGGCTCTTTTGCTTGATCAGCATCATGAAAAATTGAGTTCAGCTCAAAAAAATGTGAGGAGCATGTCAGAAGTGTAGCGGCTTGTCTGGAAGCTCTGGCTTTTGTCATTGCAGGAGATTTCACTATGATTTATCCTCTCACATAACTGAAACTTCAGAGCAAGTTTATATTTTATGGCCCTGCCGTATATTTATCTTTTGTTAAAAAAAGAATGAAGTACAAAGCTGCAGAGGGAGATGCTGCTATATTGGGGGGTGTCTTGGTGCTGTGCGCTCCATCTGATTGCAGCCGGGGAGAGCAGTTTTTTGATATTCTGGATGAACCATTTGCTCAGCTGATTAATCAAATTGAAATGCCAAACATATTTGCTACGTACCTTTCTTTCAGAACCTTTGGTCCTATGTACTGCCGTTAATAATCCAATTCCCCTCTCTCTGCTTGTAAGTCAACAGCTAAGGTTCAATCAGTGAATTAAAGATGTGAGTGATCTTACTTATACCCCAGACGTACTGGCAGGGGCGGTACCTCAAAAAGAGTGATTTTTCAGCCCCCTCCCTCTCAAACAACCACATCAAGAATGGAACTGCTGACTTCATCTTGTAGGGTTCTGAAGTTTGTTGTACAGACATGTACTATGTTCAGACATCTGCTTCGCATAGGTGCGATCTAGAAGACGTAGTGCAGCACCGCTCTTAAAGAGGAAATAGCTGGAACAATGCCCCTTTTCTTTTGTCCATGGAAAATGTAACCTAGTGCTCCATTGGTCAGCTGCATTTCAGAAAGAAAAACAACAACGGTGGTCTTGATGGCTTCTTCTATTTAGAAGATGTTTTGCCTTTACCGTTGGCAGCTAATAACAGCTGAAAGGAAAGGAATAAGAAGACTCCTGTCCTCTGGGTTATTAATAATCCACTTGAGCAGAATCATTTGCACAGAGATCTCAAGTAGCTTTACTGACTAATTAGTGAATTAAAGTTTACATCATCCCTGGGAGGCAGGTCAGTATCATAATCTCCCTTTTACAGTAGGGGAAACTGAGGCACAAAGCGGTGACGTGACTTGTCCCAGGTCACACTGTGTGTGGGGAATAGTTGTGAACGGAACCCAGGCATATGATGCCCAATCCTTTGTTCTAGCCTCTTGACAGCCCTCTATCTTATTGCACATTAAATCCAACAGGGCTGAGGCAACAGGAGTCCTGAATGCACCTTAATTTCTGGTTCTTCAAAAACTTTGGGGCTCCTCTGGGCAGACTTTCCTTGCTGCTTGTGTGATGAACTCTCCCTCACAATCTCCACAGACAGACTCTTGCTTTCCTTCCACTCTTGAGTTCTCATTCTTCCTTCCAAGTGGTGGAACCCATTCCGGCAACTGTCATCTGCCTGAGTTATGCCACATCATGGTGGTAACAAACACTGAACTGCTTTTCCCCCCTTCTTCTTAATAGGGTAATAATTTTTAATTGTTTGTGTTAAGAATATAAGGGTAATGCTCTAGTCCTTGGGTCGAAGGCACAATGTAAGTGCAAAGAACTGTAAAGCACTAGCGTGTGTGTGTGTGATTGTGCATACAGTGTTCCATAATGCGGGGCAGCCCCTGTAGAAAGAGAGTTGCTTACCAGATCCTACAGAATCCTGCAGAGTAGCTGTGTCTTATTTGTTTAGGGCATGTAATCCATATTGTGTAATCCATATTAATGCTTGTAGTAAATACTTACATGAGATGGATACTTGTATAAATAAATACTACTCAGCATGAGTAAGGGTTGCACTATCTAGCTCTTAATGAACCCTGTCCTCAGTATTTTGTGTGAAGAACTTCCACTGACTTCATTGTGCGGTCTGCATCTGTCATGATAGCAGGAGAGCCCAAAGAATTACTAACACCTAACCTAGTTTCCTGCATGCAGACTGCTCTGTTTTTTCACCACTCAAAAAGGTAAATCAGTCACATTCAGCAGCACACACATTGCAAGAACGTGTAATTTGTCACTAAACCCAATGACTGCAACTACACATGTACAAGATCAACGTACTCCACGTCTCCCAGAGGGGGAAACAAGGAAGCAGAGCAATGTTAACTACTGAACCAAATAGACCTTCAAACGTGCTAAAAAGAACTAGTGAATAATTGTTCAAGAGTGGCATGGGAGGAGTGTCGTGACTCAGCAAACATAGTGTCAGAAAGGATTTCAGTGCTTTTGGTGAGAGAGAGATATGGTACCCTCTAAGCTCTCTGGGCTGTGGTGAGATGAAATCTGTCTCTTGCCAGTATAATGGTGAATAAATTGAAATAAGGCTTTTAAAGATTCCAGTAGGTTATGAAAGGGTTTTGCAACAAGCCACCTCTTCCTTCTGCAGTAAGCTGCCAATACAGAGCCCAGGAGGAATATAAATAAATAAGAACAGGCACCGCTGGGTTTATGATTCACTACAACTGAGTTTCAGTTTGGAAACATACCCAGGTAAAATGTTTACATTATATATTTAAAGAGGAACCACATCATATGTCCTTTTCTATTTCCTTTTTTTTTTTTTTTTTTTGCCCCTTGGCTTGACTTTTCTGATTTGAATCAAGCTTTACCCAGCCCAGCATATGGCCAGCACATAACCCTGCCAAAACCAGCTGGTGGCTTCTCATAATTACCGGAGACCTCTGATGGCTGTAACAGTGATTACGCTTGGAATTTCTCTTAGGGAATTAAATCATATATTTACCAAGTAGCTCCCTACCATGCGGAGTTTCATTATTTACAAGAAAATGGAAATTAACCCGAGGAGGACAAAGGTGTGATTTTGATAAATTAGGTCACTAAGAGCAAAACCTCCATTTGCTCTAAAACTTTTAAAGGTTGACAGAATAAGACAACCCCACCTCCACCTCCCCCCATCATCCTCCTGATAAGCTTCACATTCTACCTCCGTATCCTTCCCTATGTAACCCCCAAGGAGATTACCTCGATTCCTGGGGCTCTGTCTGCTGGCAGTTCAGGGAGAGGCACACTGTCCCTGGTAGGGAGGGGGATAGACATCTGCCTCAGGTACCACAGTGAGGAATGGTAAATGCTTGGTTAGCTCAATTAGCTGGCTAGCTAGATACTATGTCTATGTGCCATAGACAAATACTATTGATGTGATTTTCAAACGGTGGTCCGTTGACTACTGGTGGTCCTTGGCAAACTGTCTGGTGACCTGGAGCTGACTCTCTACTTGTTTCCAGCTGTTACACTGCATTAAAATTTGGCTAAAAGTACATAAAGCATGTTCCCAATACTACTCTTCCAAGAAATGTAAACAATTGCAGTAGTTGCCACAAGGATGGGATAGGATAGTGAATGAGAGGAGAGATGTCCATGACACTAGTCTCTCTGTTATTATTAAGATGTGGTCTGCTCTCATGAGAAAGAGCAAGAACCTCTCATGGAGCTAGATAAGTAGTGACTGTGCCTTAATACAGTAGCTAGATAGTGTACGTACACAGATGCTGTAGATGTATATTTGTTTATTTCAGTTTCTACTACTCTACATCAAGAGAGCATCCATCCAAGAGTCTGGGCATCCTTGACAATTTTTTCTTAAAAACATACTTCAGAAACAGACTCCCTCAACTATCCCCACATTATACCCTGGCAACAATATAAATGTAACAAAAAATGAATAACCCCTCCAAACAGAATTTCCATCTGTAATAAATGAAAGGGGGGAGGCAGGCTCCCTTTTATGAACACCCAGCCAGCCAGTTAACTGTAAAGTCCCCTTTGGTGGCTGTTCTCTGCTTGCTTTACCTGTAAAGGGTTAACAAAGTTCCCCAGGTAAAGGAAAAAGTGTGGGCACCTGACCAAAAGAGCCAATGGGAGGCTAGAATTTTGTAAAATGGGGAAAAAAACGTCCCCTTTGTCTGTTGTTCTCCAGAGAAGGAGACAGGGAGCAGCAATGCTCTAAGCAAGAATGCTGTGTAAGGCTTGAACCAGGTATGAAAATTCATCTTCCATACCTAGAAGAAATCATTGTATAGGAAATGTTTAAATAATGCGATCAGGTTTATTTCTTTGTTTTGGCTTGTGGATCTCCTCTGTGCTAACCCCAGATGCTTTTGTTTGCTTGTAACCTTTAAGCTGAACCCTCAAGAAAGCTATTTTGGGCACTTAATTTTTGGAATTGCTCTTTTAAAAACTAGCAAAAGCCTAAGTTCCAGATGTATTTTCTTCCTTTTTGTTTTTAATAAAATTTACCTTTTTTTAAGAACAGAATTGGATTTTTGGTGTCCTAAGAGGTTCATGCGTATGTTGTTTAATTAGCTGGTGGCAACAGCTAATTTTCTTTGTTTTCTTTCTCAGCTCTTCCCCGGCGGGGGGTGAAAGGGCTTCAGGGTACCCCACAAGGGGTTTTTTGCATTTGGGTGGTGGCAGCGTTTACCAAGCCGAGGTCAGAGAAAAGCTGTAACCTTGGGAGTTTAGTACAAGCATGGAGTAGCCAGTATTAATTTTTAAAATCCTTGCGGGCCCCCACCTTCTGTACTCAAAGTCAGGGCCGGCTCCAGCTTTTGTGCCACCCCAAGCAGTGAAGAAAAAAAAAGAAAAGAAAAATCTGATTGAGCTGCCGCCAAAGTGCCGCCGAAGAAGAAGAAGGGGAGTGAAGGACCCGCTGCCGAATTGCCACCGAAGACCCTGATGTGCAGCCCCAATCACGGATGGAGTGCCGCTACCGCCCCTTTCTATTGGCCACCCCAGGCACCTGCTTCCTTCGCTGATGCCAGGAGCCGGCCCTGCTCAAAGTGCCAGAGTGGGGATTCAGCCTTGACACCATCAGAATCCCTGCTTCTGCTGCTACCGAGTTTCAGCCATCACCCATCTCCTTATGAGCCCAGGAACATCACTGGGGATTGCAGGGTGCCATGAAAGGGAACATACTTGGGCAGTTACAAACAGGCTACCTCTGAGATAACCATCTCCCATTCTAAGTGGACTACAAGAGGTGGCACAAGAAGCCAGTGCCTGGAATCAGAGAATTGGAAAGAGCAGTTCTCTTATTCCTGACCGGATTTTATGGATCTCTCTCTAGTGTGTCCAGAGCTGACAAAAAGCTGCAGAGCCTCATTACCAAGGACTGGTGACCTCAGGTTTACCATGAAGGGGGATTAGAAAGGGAGTGTGGCTGGTCAGGAAGCAGGAGAAAAGAGATTGGCAGTCTGGTTCAAGGCATTGGCCATGCTAGTGCATGCGAGCTTCGTGTTAGCTACGTTTGGTGTATGTTTGGCTGAAATGAACACAAATGTTTTCTACCGTTCTAATTTTAAAGTTCCGTTCTGTAAATTTATCTGGTAAGTTTGCACAATATTGTTTTTAATTGCACATTATTTTGTGCACTGTTTTTGGTACACAATACATTTTTGTACGTTATTTGATTACTTCCTAACATATCCCATTGAATGCCTAGTGCCACTCAAAGCACGCCTTAC